ATTAGTTGGAAAACGCATAAATTCAGGGTGGGAATCATGGCTACCATGGTTTAATCGAGCTCATTGTTGTGCAAAGGCGTTTTTATCAACTGATTATCAACAAATAATGCTAACAGCTCCATTCTTGACTGGATCATTACGTAAAGTAGATGGCGGTGTTGAGTACGGTCAGATATTGCTTATGGGACTTGGAGCACGTTCAATTGCCAATTATATTCATTATCGTTTTTTTCGAGTAAGAAAACACTGCTTCATTCTTCAAATCGTATCAGGAAAGTGGTATTCTTTTCTTAACAAAAAGTTCATATCACTATGACAGTCTAAAAAGATCAGGTCACATACTTTTTTTGCCTTAATACATTCTTTGTTTAATATTTGACTTTGACAAAGACAGGAAATAGGAAGAAACAATTCTTTACCGTAGGTGGAAGTCGATGAGCTCATTACTGTTGAAAAGGATGATTATCTGAATAAAGTATGGTTAGGAAATCCAACTTGGAATCATGTCACTATTTCCGATTTGCGTTAGTGATTTGATATTATGGCTTTTGAGAAACTGTGATCCTTCATAGCACAAGTAATTGATAACACTGATAAGTTCTATTTCATTGTACATCCGTTTTGTGTGTTCTCTTTTCAGCCATTTAGTGTCAAAAAATTTCTAAATAAGAAATATCAGCCGCATTTTTTGCATTTTTCTGAAACATGTTTGATCGGCAGCGTTCTTTTCTCAATAATTTATTAATTGCCTAACTAATCTTTGTAACCATAAAATCACGATGCTTATATGAAAGCAAAAAAAAAAAAAATTCGAGCCAAATTTTGATTTTTCAAGAGTAAATTAACAGATTACACCAGTTCTAGTCTATATGACTAGAATACTATAGTTACGTGAGTCTCATTTCTCAATTCAAAATGTTGTATTGTGCATTCGAATCTATTAAAATTCTCTTTCACATATTAGTAATGATTAGAAACAGAAAGAGGGACACTATATTGAATTTGAGAAATGATATCTGAATATTATATTATATAGAAATGAACACATAAATATCATACCATACAAAGTTAGTAAGAACTATTCTTCTATCGATTTATTTAATAAATTTACTCAAGAATCTAAACTGAACTTAAAAGAGTTTCAATTTTTTCATAGGTATAAGCAAGTATTTGACATTGTTAGCTGAAAATCTCAAATTTAATAATAAATTTACATTAAACCCTCATTTATGAAATAATGGTTTCATAATTATCTAAAATATTCGGATAGAATTTAAAGAAATCAATACAAATAGTTTGTAAAGGTGAGGAAGACTATAATGCGATATTTATTGATGCTTGCCTTAATATTATCTGTCCACCAACACGAACAATCAAAACAGTCGCAAAATTAAACAGGACACTCAAAGAAAATGGTTTTTTTTTTTTTTCAATTTTGAAACCTAGTATCATTTTTTCTTTCATATGACAGATTTGCGCATAATTCAACATTAGCTTCAGTATTCATGTATTTGCAAGCTACGCCAGATAATTGAAAATATTTTACTGTTTTGTTTTCATGAACTTAGGGTTGGAGCTGATATACTGAAAAGTTTGCCTTCATAGAATATTTCAAAACTCAAACTTCTTTCTGGGCACGCGAGAAAACATGCCAATTACAAAATAAAGAAAATAAATTTAGTTAAATTGATGTTGTAAATTTAATTTACTTTCAATATTAAGCCTATGAAAGCAACTGAAAACTTTTGACTCAATGAGCAACAAAAAATTGAAATCTGATATGAGGAAAAACTTTCAGGTGTGCTTATTGTTAATGTGAATGCTCCAACAAAAAATTTATTACATCGCACACTAAAAAGGGTGGGAAAGTTCTTAATAATTCTAAATTTTCTTCAAATCTCTTTGCAGTGTATTGATTTGACGATATTCTGTCAAGTTGAAAAATGAAACTTCCTCTACTTGAGCTTTCATGATATTTTATAATTTTTGAGATTGTGGATAACTGAAAGATTGTAATTAAAAGACATTTTAGTGACTGTGAATATCTGAACAGTGATGGAATATTTCGAAAAGACCACTCAATATTTGCAGGTAAACAACAGTTTATCAGAAGCATATGATTGCTTTATGATAGCTAATAGCAATAATCGTATGGCTCCCTTAAATAAAATACTTCTTTATTGGAAACGAAGTACAAGTGGATGTAAAAAGATGATTAAATCATTCAAAATGAAGAAAAAACTTTTCTTATTCAATTTAAACGATATATGACAGATGGTGTTCTGCATTGAATTTAAGATAAACATTTACATTGTTGTTGTTGTTATAACACTCGTATGCTACCGAACGTAATGATTTTTAAATCATCCGGCCTTATTTCATGTTTCTCGAAGTAAGGCTGGAAATAAGCACTGAATTGATTGTCATCTCTTAGAAATCAACCCACCCCACCCTAACCCCTTCCCCCCCCCCCACCCCCCCCCCCTCCCCTACTTCACATATTATAAAATTCAATTAAAAATAACTGGTTTCGTTTGCTTCAAAAATTGTCCAAAGTATTATAACAAAGTGTTTGAAGAAGAAAGAACTGACAAAGTTCTTCGTGACTTTTTGAAATCTGTAAATAAAAATTGTCCATTTGAATAAGGTCTCATTGAAAGTCTGAGAAAAAAATTAGTAACTTTCTTTCCACACATTTAAAAACTGCATTGCAATTTGAATAAAACTCACACGTTATAGCAAAAAGCTTGTAACTGATCAAACAAACTGACTAAAAATTCCTCGACTCAAATCATTTTTTACAAAACCTTCTGACTTATAGCCTTCTACAGTAACCACACCATTTTTTATAGTACATCTTCACACAGTTATCACACGGTTGTTAAGCAATAATCAAAAACATGAGCACCTCATGTGGATTATTGGTTGTAGATAAGGGATAGGCAGAGAACTGTTGTGTCTATGATAGATGGTCACTAAACTACCTAAATCTGAAAATGATTTTAGCAATTATGGAATGGTTTTCAAACCAAATTTTCTGAATGAAGTTTACATAAATGACATTTCCGAGAACTGTAATAATTCGGTCTATTGGTGACAACAAAAGTTGACTACTTCAGTAATTTCATAACAACTAACTTTTTCTGTATTTGCTTGATCAATAAAATACAGTTAATCATAGATGAATCTTTTCTCTCTTGCTTTTACAGAAGTAGTTGAATAGGCATCTAAGATCGTGTTATATGAATCATGAGAAATGGAAAAAGGAATTTTAAACATCGGTCATTTTGTTTTACAAATTCACACCCCGATAATATGAACAAAACTTTCTTTATAAACACTGTGGATGGGTTTCCTCCCTTATCATCTTCGTCAGAACCTAACATGCCGAACAGTTGAAAAAAAAAGTGCAAATTACGACTAAAGTCACCATTCAAATAAGCTCGTAATATTCTCCATAATAATGAAAAGTTTAGGGAAGAGACGTCAGGCTTAAATTGCACAAAAGATTCATAGCCTACTTTTTTATGCTATAATTGTAAGCAACCATTACTCAACGGATTTCTATAATTTCTAAACTTCCAGTACTAAATGATGAAATCTTCCCAAAACATGCTATTATTATATTAGTCAATACATTTGTAATTCACCAGAAGATCCTCCAATCGTCCAATTGATTATATGATAAATATAGGGAAGCAAATTTCTAGATTGTTTCCTCTTTTTCCGGCAATCTAAACCTGCAAGTGTGCGACATTTATGCTTAATTTTCGAGGGTCGCATCCATTTTTTAAATTCATTTTATCCCAATGACTGCTACTCAAGTAAAGCTGAAATGCTTTGGATTACAGAAAACAACTTTCGATAGATCTTTAAAATAATGAAATAAGTCCGATTTGCTAACATAACAGTCCTCCATAAAATAGCTCCTTATAAAGACAAAACACGCAGAAAATTTTCAGAAAGAACATTCGGTTGAGACCCACAAACAGTTGTCATTGATTATAAGATAAAGCATTTCATTATAAGACAAGATTCCGAAATTTCTGGAATTGCTAGTAATCTCCAAATGTAGACATTTAATGTTTTTGACATTTCTCTTGCGTCCAGTTTACCTGGAAAGTATTTTGCGCAAATTCCTATAGGAAGAATGAAATATTTTTCGAAGAAATAAGATATGACATAAATGAACTAGTCTTGAATGAATTTTTTCATAAATTTTTATAAAGCTTGTTGTTTGCCATACGTTTTTTTCTCGAATTACTGCTAAAAGTTGTTACAAGAATCCATTCACACTCATGTTAGAATTTCGGATGATTTTTTATTTAATGCTTTATCTACGATGCACTAAAGAAATCCTCAAAAAAGTAGAAATTTCAAACAAAAATTTATTTCCAAGGAAGAAATATCATAATGAGATAGAAAAGTTATTTCCTTTCCTTTCCGAGCCAACTATCAATAAAAGAACAGACGAAAATTTGATAAACTTAGTTACAGACTCTAAATACAGACCTGGAAAGTTAACATCAAAATTACTTCACTCCATTCTAACCATCTAGATGTTGATCAAAGAGAGGGACTACAACTTTCGTAACGATTCAATCAAAATTAACATTGTTGCCCAACGCGAGCAACGCTGTGCCGAGACCAGATTTGTTCACAATGGGCTTGTTTATAGCGAGAGACCGAATTTGTTTATTGACGAGTGGATTAGTCTCGGGCGGTTTCCTCTTTCTCCTTTCAGGGCTTTGTTTTCGTATCAGGACTGATATTCAACGTGGTCATTTCTTGGAAGAGTGTTGGAGAATGGTGCACTTTTTGAGGATCATCTATCAATTTTTTTTCCCTACCTGTAATCTTTTTTTAATCTTTTTACTGTTTAGCATTGATTAGATCTAACGAATTGTTGATGTTATTACTTTCTATTGGATTTTTATGCAGTATGTGTCGTAATAATCGGACAACATTCACGTAACCAGAAACTCAGTGGTTATTATTATATGAAATTAAGTCGAGCTATCAGTTATACCGCATTAGGTGTGACTGTCATCTATGTTACAGCAATTCTCTTGGGAGCCCCACTTTTAAGGTTGATTAATTTTTGCTTCCTTCTTTCTAAAACCTACAAGAGTATGCAGTTTCCACTACACAGAACTTACAGATATACCGCTTGTATCATAGTCGCATCACGTCAATGATTTCAGCCATTTTGGAGCAAATTTCGTCTTTTCGATAGTGCTTGCAATAGTGAGTATATTCCCATTGTTGTTAGTTGCTGAAAACTTCGACAGTTTGGATAATATTTTATTTGGAAAGAGGTTTCCCTTTTATTAATTCATATAACTGTAGTAGTAATTTGAGTCATAAATCATTGTCTGAAACTATGAGTACGCTTTAAAATTAAATCAAGAGAAATTAAAAAAAAAAATAAGTTTGAGAAAAAGAAGGAAAACACGGTTATCACCTTTTCCTAGAATATAAACTCTGTGAAGAGAAGTGAGACACTGTGGAAGAAGGAAATATAGCTTCTTGATATTTGTATTTGTAACTTCCCGCTAATTTCTCAGTTTTATATGTATTTTATGTTTGTTGTAGTTAATGCATTGGGTACTGTATAAGTTCATTGGATAGAAAATATTGAATTTTTATATGAAATTAACATTTATTATGATAATAATCACAATGCGTTATGCTCAAGCAAATTTAGACAGTTATCAGACAAGTGTTTGCTTGCTCGTCAGTTGTCACTGGGTGGTGTGTTTGGTGCGTGGTTCGGTGCATTTGTTATTCCTTTTGACTGGGATCGCTGGTGGCAGGTAATTGCAAATTTCTTTTTAAAATATATTTCTATTCGATTTACAAGAGATGTTTACCAAGACTGTTTAATCATTTCCTTATTGTAAGCTGTTTTTCAGTAACCAACCTATTAAATGATAAATGTCATAGTTGTATTTCTAATTTTTAAGCAATATTTTACGTCTTAAGTCTCCTTCAGCGTTGGCCAATTCCGTGTGTTCTCGGTGCAGTGATTGGTGGTATTCTTGGATGTTTGACCAGTAGTTATAAAATTCTTTTTTCCTATTTGGAAAAGCAGCGAAAATTGGAAAAATTTGTATGACTTCGCAGTTTGTGTTGGTTGTTTTCGATTCCTAAGCTTCAATTTACAAGACATTTAGCGACTTGATAATTATTTAGTATAGAACGTTTCAGTGTCATAGAGAACAGTAAGCACTGGCAATTTAGGTGTTTAAAAATTTTCAAATTTGTCACGTATAATGAAACATATACATGAGAAGTTGAGAAATTTAACTTCTAGGTTATATAAAAATTCTGTTTATTTATGTATGCTGCAACAAGTACTTACCTTTCTCAACTGATAAATGTTCCAAAATTGAAAGCTATCATTTTTGCCGAATTCGATGCAGACAAAGGGCCAGTAATTAGAATACAAGTCAGTGAAAACTTCATTTATTTCTTTTGCGTTTTTGCTAAAATATCTAGCTTGATCCCTCACGATGATAAATGATAATGATCTCATTTTATGTCACATTTATCAAAAGACTGCTAAAAACTGTTTAATGGTAAAGTAATGATCAGTTCTATAGATGCCCGATTTTCTCTTCGATGCAAAAAGATTTGATACATTTTCAAATGCTGTAATCCCTAAACCGGAACTGTTTCATCGACTAATCAAAGTGAACCACGTTGAAAACAGTGATGGAAAAGTATACAAAGTGATAGGGCATCCTGTTGGTATCGGTTAGTTCTACTGCTATGTTACGAGAAAACTTGAATGAGCTACTAAATTTTTTTTCCTTTTAAAATCTTTTTTGTTTGGTAGAAACCTGTTCACGCTTACTAGTAACAAAATTTTGATCAAATCTTCTAAAAACAAAAAAATTTAAATTAGTTTGTAAAATTCGACATCAGAATGATTATTATTTTCGCTACAAGTGACTTTCCTAAGTAATTTTTGCGTTTTCGATTCGATTTTGGAATATATAAGAGCTGTTTTAAAATACAAAGTTTTCAAAAAAATAACTTTTAGAAAGTGAAGTAATTTTCCTCAGGCACATTTGTAAATGTTGTGCTGCACTATTGACGAGCACATCATGAATCTTAAAAACTGTTAAAAGTAATTCGAGATATGAGACTACCACATCACAGTTTCTGTTGGATAATTGTAAAAGAAGAAAAAAACAAAACTTCAGAAATTCATGACCAGTATATCTAAAAAAAACTATATATATATCCATATCTATATATATATATCCATATCCTAAAAAACTAATATATTCTTGGAATGATCTTGATAGCTAATAACTATTTCCCAATACCATTTAATATTGTTAGAAAACAATTATTCTTGTAGCATTAAGTTTCAGGAAAATCAGAATGCTCGTGCCTCTTTTCTTTTGCTCGAAAAACTTTTCCTTCAGAGAGTAAATTAGTGAACTGTATATGTTGGCCAATCTTTTTTTTTTTTTCTTTTTTTCCTTTTCACGGTCTTTTTTTCTATAGTGATTAAGGATATGAAATTTTGGGCATCACTAATGTGATATTATGTTCTAGAAATATTGTGAGCTATTTCAGTTGTTATTGTTTAGCAGAAAACAGAATAGTGCCACATATCTTTGCAAATATTAAAAGATTCCAGAGTCTGATTCATATGCTCGCGGTCGCTATATATTCAACGTCTGTTTTGTGGTTGATAAGAACAGTCAGATTGATTGCATGTACGAACCGATGGTTCAGAAATGTGCGGCTTATTTAACGCAAATGGAGAAGGTGAAGGACTTTTAAAGTAGTGAGATGACTAAATTGAAAATTTTTGACGGGTAAACCGAAATACAACTGAAGATATTTAGGATACGCGGTTTTTGTCACAATCGCAGAGTAAATTGCCTGATTTATTGCTGGAAATATTCAAAGGCCTTAACGAGCATGGTACGCAAATTTCGATGCATACTTCTTGAGCAGAAATGGACTTTAATATAGCTTAGTTTTAATTTTAAATTTTATTTAAATTTAGTTTTAATTTTTTAACTGTAGCTCTGAATCTTAGTTTTAATGTTTGTATTTGAACTGATTGTTGTGTTAGGGATGTAAGGTCTGAATTTTTACGCATCACAGCATATTTTCTTAGACACTAATAATTTTAATCAGTAAGTCTCGAAAATATTTTGATATTCCAATCTACTGTATTTTGGGAGTTTCGCTTTGATGTTTAATAGATTAAAATCTTTTATACAGAATGAAAGTCCTGATGGAATGAAACTAATGTCATAACGATATATAATGTTTTTGAAGAAAATATAACTCAGTGATTTTAGGAAAGAAATTTTTGTATTACATTAAAAATATGGCATAAAAATATATTATTAAGATAAGATTTGGATTACTGTTGCCATTATTGTTTTCTTTCTTTGAAAACTTTGTGTTAGAGGCACAGCAAGTATGCTTGTTGTTGATAATATATTTTTTTGATGAGATACAACTGACGTGTTGTTCTTGCCTTATTAGGGCAAAAACATTTGATTTCCAAAAAGAAAAATTTTCGGCTATGCATACTTTTAAGTATAATCACTTGCACATAACTGCAGTTAATTATTCATAAGGAGGAGTTTTGAATTGTAACAATAAACCATTTTTGTTCGTAGATTGAAGAATCAAAATAGTTTACGCAGTATTAAATACTGAATTTGATTTGCCTCCTTAAATCATTCTACTCTCTTAAACACTAGCTTATGTGTGCTATGCATATGTTTTCAGATAAATGTAGTGTTCTTACATGTTTTCACACAAAAAAATTCGAATTTGTATTTACATAACACTATGTTACCATGTTACCATAGATAAGCAGCGAACTAGAAAAGAATATGTAGTGATTACCAATTTCATCATGAAAAATTATAAAGTATTGTGTGGTGCTACGCTGATGAATCAGTTACTTCGAATTGCAGGATTTTTTTTTCCAGGTGAATGCAAAATCCCTGTTACTGATCAAACAACTATATACTTAAAGTTGTGTCCTTCGTTTCATGGTATTGAGCCACCTAAGGTGGGTTGTTCGAGTTACCTCCAAATGCAGAATCTTAGTGTAGACATTTTTTTTTTTTTGATTGCTAAAGCTTAGGTTAGCGTAAACTTCGATTAAACCGGTTGATTTTCGAATATAAGCGATTGTTGTGACATTTAGCAAATTGTATAAAACTCTGTACAACAATCATTATTCTCAGGTAGAGCCATACATGGTGCCGATGTTTACACAAATACCACCGCCAAATACACCAAATCATATCTCAAAAATGGATGTTCTATCACAGAAGGTTTCTTTAGTCAATGATGCATGTCATTTAATTTTTATATTTTTAAAGGACTTTTACTTTTAGTCGTTGAGCTTGCAATACAAGTTATATCGCCGTTACACGTAACAACACTTCTTTAGAAGTAACTTTTTTAAAACAAGCTAATATGTAATTGAATATTATATGTAATTACATTTTATCAAAACTGTTATGTCGTTGCATACTACACTATTTTCGATTGCTATTGGACTTTTCATTTTATATATTGCAACATGATACTTACTTTTGTGTACTGAAATCTATTTCATATCAACATACATTATAAGAAAAAAGCGAAAACCAAATAGAATGTTGCCAAATTTAAAATGACGCGCACTTTTGTACGACATTATTAAAGCATTTTATTAGCTGGAGTTATTCCAGCTATACGATGACTCTGAAAATAATAGGTGGAATCGATGAATATGTTGTGTTAAAATTTATTAGAAAAATATTGAGTTGAATTTAAAGGAAAGCTCGTCATTGATTTCAGATTTGTCCTAAAGTGGACGGTGTATGTTGCATTAAAGAAATTGCCATGTTAGTACAAATAGATACTGATCTAGTAATGCGATGTGTTCGTAATTTGCATTTCTATGGTTGTTTAACATTAATACCTCTCTTTATGTATGCTAACACATACGTTGCCACCGAACAGCTACATGATTTTTATATGAATACCGATCTTATCAAAGTTAGTACTCAGTATTTTGTTTTTTCGAATATATTGCTTCTGTAATCAAAAAATCAACAAGAGTTATCGGAATTTTACTAGTTAAATTAGGGAACTTTGTTTTTTCTTCTTTCATAAATGAGATTTCCATCGCAATAATTACACCTTTCTCTTTTGCGATCATCCATTTCCATTTAATGATGATTGGAGAGTGATTTTGCTTGTCCTCAGTAGATATACAAAGGAAGTAAGTTCTCAACATTTTCTAAATCTTATTGTTGGGCAAAGTTTCATTTTCAAATTATCTCAACTTGCATTAAATTCATTTGCTTACTAATCATTTCATGAATGTTTGGATTTTATACGGCCAGTAAATGATGGAGGTGAACGTTCAGGTCGAAAACCACTATTTCCTGATGTATTCCGATTATATGCTAGTTTGAAAGTATGTTTGTCGGAGCTATTTCACTAATAATCTTCTAAATTAGAATTACAAGTTATAATTCACATTTCCGTAATGTTGCGTGATAATTTATCTGGATCATTTTCATTTTATTTAAACTCGTTTTCAGACAGGTATGACAATGAAAGATTGGTGTGAAAGGATGTCTCCTAGGCAGTACAATGTTGATGAAAGACGTGCGATACAATTTGGTATATGTCACGGATTTGTTCGAAAGCTGTGCATTTATCCTGTGTGTTTGAAGAAGTGCGATATGCGAAGGTAAATTTACCTGTTTCAAGTTTTTTTTTTTTTTTTTTTTTTTTATTGAAAAGGTGGAAATATTTCCAACTAAATTTATCGTTACTCCATTTTCGTTTTTTTTGATGGACACATGGATCCGTTCATGTATTTAATTCTTAATTCTTCATAAATTCATTGTTTGATCGACTGCACTGATTCTAAACTTTAAGAAAAGGTCTACAATATAAAGCAGAATCTCACATTTACTTTTATTTAATTTACTGTTTATATGTAAGAGAGAGTATAACTTTTAGAAACAAGTTATATCACTGAATATTATTTTCATGTTAAATTTACTTACAGGATAGCTAAATTATGCGATGGTACTCGCTCTTTGGAAGATTTAGCAGTCATTTTTGCTATTTCACCAGTTAGATTGTTGGAAGCTGTTCGTGATGATGGAAATTTTGTTTTCATTTCAAAGTAGAATAAGTATTATATAGAAGATTGGGAATAGAAACCTTTCAGCTATTTTTAATTAAGAAATCACAATTTATCTAAAGTAAAAATTGCTGAAGAATTGAAGTGATGGGAACTATAAGCTTTAAAGAACTATTATACGTAATATTTTAAATTTTTTGGAAAGAATCTGCGTTCGAATGATGAAACTTAAAGAGCATTTTCTCACAGTTTTAAAAGTTGAGGTTGATAATGTCAGATATTTCCCCGCTTTATAGTTATGAATTGTTCTAAAACTATCGTTTGTCATTGCTTCATAAGTTATGGCTTTTCTTTTTCTGTGTTAACTATTCGTCATTTTTTTGCGTCTTCATGTTTTTTGTTTATTTTCGCTATGCACACATATAAAAAGGTATTATTCAAGTTTTTATTATCAAATTATCAAATGAAAGTATGCATTGATAGGTATAGCGGAAAATCCAAATACATATTTAGTTCACTCATACAAGTACCACTTTGCAAGTGCCTTTCTTATCTTTGAAGATATTTCGGTCCACAGAATATGACAATGAATGAGCGCTGTACGCGTGGTGTAAACTTAATCAGATAGGAATTGCTGTGGTGCCTTCTACTTTTAAATTACATCACAGTTTACGAAGAGACTGAGGACGACGATACTGAAATATTGAGATTAATGTGGAAATATGGAGAAGGAGTACTACTGTCATCAGCAAAACGATGATTGTGACTTCGCTAAACTTTTTTGGCTTAATCCATGATAAGGAGGTTTTGTTCAATGCATTCTTGAATTTCGTTTCTGACTAAGCAGTCGAAGTTTTTTTTGGAAAAACGGATCATTAAATCTTTTCCACTCCCAATTATTTGGAGATGTTTTCTTTGTTTTATATGAAACATGTTAATTCCCACACAACAGCAGTTCGAACACTTTCAGTATTCTGAAGTACTAAGGTTTAATGATGTATTCGTCCATAAAATAGGAGGTATATAAAAAGGATGGGTTAGAAGCTGAAAGCGCAGTAATACAAGCAGAGTATATATATGTATTGAAAATTTGAATAATTCGTGCAAACGAATCAACGAACTGTTGTATCCCGTATAGCTTACTTTTTCTGAATTAGATTAGAATGCACTCTCAAAATGAAGTGAAAGGCGAAAAATAAGCTAATAAAACATACAGGAATTTTCCCTAATCTCTAGTAAATTTTTTCTACCTATACTGAAAATTTTGCTATTATAGATGATGTAGGCCTTAGGAAACCAAAAAACTATTATAATCCTTTGATGTTTACCTTTCCAATATGCTTTTGTGCAAATAATTCCACTAGTTTAACCCCATTTTGTGGTAGGAGATGGGAAATAATATAAACTCGTGTAATATCAGTGCAATTCAATTATGAACGAAAACTGAGAAGTTTTGTCCTCTTTTTGTTCAATACATAATATTACCATCTGCTTGTTGTCCCATAGAATTTATAATAGGACAATGCTTATAAAACTTTTTGAATAACTCATCAGCAGAGGAAGCTCCTGCAATGTACAACCATCGAGAATTGCATAATGGATATATAGCGGTTATAATTCGGAGATATGTAAAGTGCTAGATATACGTAAAAGTGATTGGTTATAGCAATTTGTATAAGTGGTTCTGACTAGATCTTAATTAACTGCGTAATTCGCACATTTGTTGTAATTTTCAATGTTCTCTTCAATACTGGATAAACAGGAAATTTCTAGCACTCTCTGTAGCGATTTGCAGATCCTAGGAAACTTCCATACTAATCGCACCCTAGCCGTCCTTATTCGTTTGATATTTATCATATTCCTAATCGGATCTGCTTTCAATATCTTACTACCTCTTCAATTTTATTGCCTTGCAAGAATTTATCTCCGAAATTCATACTAGAATGATCTACATAGCAACCTACAACTTACATTCCTGACTCATATTTTTTTTTTTTAATTCTTAAAAGTTCACGAAATTATCTTAATGAGACCAAGAAATACTAAATTTCCTGGTAATCCCACTTTCGAAGATTTTAAAACAAAAAAAAAAGCAATGTTGTAAAAAATGTCCTCATGTCTACCGTATGTATGCAGTAAAAAAATATATCTTTTACTTCAGGACAAATTTGCAAGATTTCAGGCAAAATTTTCTAACTTGAAGATATTGCAAAATCCAAGTACTTCGGACTTTTCTCGTATCTTCTAAGTTAAATTATGAAGTCTATAATATTTCTGATAGAGCATTTAAAAACATGACATAAAGACATAGCTTATAAATTACATAGGGACGTTTCTTTATGAACTATCTTCAAAAATAATAGGATGAGGATGTTTAATATCCCTATTTTCGATTTAAAAAGACTACTCTTCACGGCACTCTCAACATACAAAGAAGTCATGTGTAACACTTGAAAGGTTCTAGATTTACTCCTTTTGTTTATAAAGATTAATTTGCAAAAAAATTATCGAGAAGATGAGAATTCATCAAATGGCCGTTATATCGCGAAACAAAATAACGTTGAATATATTTTTTCCAAAAATAGTGCGAAGTTTTAGGCAGCTAGTCAAAAAATTCTTTCACTAATTACGTTCAGCATTCCTTTTACTTACATCCTTATATTTCAATTCCTTACAAATTTCTTTTTCAACTGATCAGATGACAGTTTCACAATATCCACTTTCGAAGAATTAGAAAACTAAGTCTTGAAATGAGGGATTCATCGTTCCAATAAATTGTCATTGCCATTCAAATGTGCTCTGTCAGTCACAGCCATCGTTTCAGATTGCTCCTCCATACGAGCTCTATAGTGGCCGAACATTACGTTAATAATTTCACTAACCAGTAAATCGCCACCATTTGTCTGTAACGAAAGACATACCATTAGGATATTGACGAATAGCTGGGAACCTTAAGCTCCTGCCTATCTTTTTCAGCATATCGCACCAGCTTGAATGACAAGTTTTTTCTCCCTGATCAGTATAATTTAATAGCAATAAGTTGGCTACGCACTAGCAATAGTGATATGACCATACTGTGAAAAGTGCATGCTGTTAAACAAACTGATATGAAACCTCGATAAGTCGCAAAATGAAGATACCATCGGGCCGCAGAAATCTTCTAACAAAATCATGAAGATATTTCTCTGTTTTCGGATCTCTGAAATCCGAAATAGCACCGGCACACCGCAGATAACGTGTTACAAATTGCCGCTGATTCGATCCAAGCATCAGTGCAAAGACGTAATACAACAACGATAACACTGACAAAGTTCCAACCAGAACAAACCACCACCTGTCAATAATTCTAATAAGAATAGCAATGGACTATACTATCTGGAGAACAGCGATCATTAACTTTACAAGACGATTAGGGAAAAGAACATAATTTGTTTACCATAAGAAAATGTACACTTTTTCGTTGAACATATTAATCATCAAGACACATTGCACTGTCCAACGATGAATATTGCCCAGCACACGGATCTGAATTTGTAACTTTTACTTCAGAAATACACCAAAGATCTTATACTCATTTTTTTCATCACAACTTCGTTATTGTTCATAAAATGAGTTCAAAAAACTACTTTAAAAAAAAAAGGAGTGAAATGAATTAACAGGAAATGAATAACCGACATGAAAGTCGCACATTGTGACTCGAGGGAAATGACCGGATTCACTCCATTCCTTACCGCGCCATATATCAGAAAGAATACCCGCGCCCCACAGAGTATATTGCGGTCCCAGAAATGCATTTAGAATGACGAATTGTAGAATCACATTGATCACATACAGCAACTGTGATTATGAAAATTGAAACATGAAAATATGGATTGTACTACGTGTTCTAGGAAACAAGAACTCTATATTCTACTGAAATACGGAAATTTTGATTGTCAATATGAAAGTACTGAAAAATACTGAGGAAAAAAGTAATTTCACATTAGGTAAGTATAAGATAACAACAATACAATCATATTCATTTTCAAAAGTCCACTTTTTTATGAAAATAATACGTCTACCAAACAGATGTGAAATTACGCACTTTGGTAAAAAGGTATAAGACAATCAGATAGACTCCACTTCGTTTGCCAAGATGAAAGCAATCAAACGATCCTCAAAAATTGAAAAATTTTCGTTAAATGATTAGTACAGTTTTAGAGAAAATAATTTTAATGCTATGTTTTATGCTCAATAAATAATCTGAACTGCGGCTTTAAACTGTGATTTCGAACTGAATCAAAACAGTTAAAGCAGATAATTCTTCGAGCATCAAACATTCGCAAAAAATTAAAGAAGGAAAGACCAGTTCGGAGCTCTCTCTGCATATCCAACGCATCGCGCAAATGATCTGCTGCGATGTGCACTTGTGCAAGGCGGGAACTTTTGTCGAATTTTTTTTTCACCATAGCCGCTGAATTAAGAATTCCTTTCACATTAACACCTACAATAATGACCATACAAGCATAAAATCCAAAAATTCAATGAATCCTTATTAACATTAAGTCAAGCTACTAAAAAGTTTGAAAATTTCTTGAAAGTGAAGAATTGGAAGAATAGAAAACAAGGACTGGTCGACCTGTATGAGAATTCATCGTTCGCCAAACAATGGACGGAAAATAAAACAAAAATGCTTGGAGTGCCAAAACGATTGGTACCCATTGGTAGTATCCAATAACCTGATACCACATCAGCATATATATATTTAATTATCAATTTTTAATTTCTTATGGGACAGAAGCTATTTCTTCTGACTTATAACTGTTCAGAGGAACAAACTGCCTAACTTGTTGAAATAAGAAATTCTATGCTTTCAAGCTAGAAGAAGAAGTTTTTCTTTTTTTTTTTTTCTTTTTTTTTTTTATAAAAAAAGTATCACTAATTTAAAAAAGAAAAAAAAGTAACACTATCGTTAGTTTTTTTTTTATAAAATAAGGTATCACTAAAATGGGAGGAAGACATTCGACGGCAGAGCTAACCATTCATTTTAACGATAACGGTTATTATCATGAAATATGATACTCGACAGCATGAAAGGTTATAAAATAGAAATTTCAACTCTGCTATTCGATAAATATGTGCAGTATAATGTATGCATGGTGAAATTTGAAAACAAACCGATTCATCTCTCTGCGAATATTCGTGTGGTATTTCACTCTCCAAAGGCATATAATAACTTCCTTTGATAAAGCAATAAGTTTCCGTGTATCTAAAAGAAAACAGTATTGGGAGCGGGAGAGAGAAGGGAGGGGGTACTGAATAGAAAGCATTATTATTTGGTTACCCCTTAAAAATTGTAACAACATTTCCATTGTAACATTTAAAAAACTAGGGTTGAACTAAAATAGCTTTTTGATCGATGGACATCAGATGTTGGGACAAATTAGTATGGCGTATTTTTTTTCTTTTCAGAAAATTTTCCTTACTCCTTTTACAAAATAATAGATAATATTAAGCACAATTTCAAACCCTGAAAAAAAGATGCCAGATTTTCGGCAAGTTAGCCACCACTAAAAAAACAAATGCAAAGATATTACTGACATTCACTTACTTTTCCCATGCTCCAGTGAACTGTGCAGGCACCCAACACTGAAATATTTCTTTTTCAACCTGAATTCTAGTCACTTTATGGCGGCCAAGCATTTTTCGAATCACTTTATTTCTGATGAGTTTAAAATTTTTTGAAAGTCTCAAAATCGTGTGTTTGGCCCGTATTTATGCCGACATCTGAACTATGCTAAAATATTTTAACAGAAATATTTTTTGTTAAATATTTTCAGGATAAAAGTAACAAATCAAATAGGATAGAAATAATAAAAATGAATAAAACACAGACTCACCTGAATCGGTTTACCAACATATTGCGTTGCAGCAAGGGTAAAGGCAGTAAGTGCAATGATCAGTGCCGTATACTGATAATTCAGTCGATCAATGATATCATTTGACTGGTAATTTCGATGGAATTTCGACAAATAAGGTGCTATTACGCCGATCATCGTGCTTACAAGTCCAACAACCTGAAACTTCCTGTTTAGTACCATCAGGGAACCAAATACACGCGCGAGTAACAATTGAGCAAGTTTCTAAAATTCTAAATATAATTACGGATGCCGATGAGGAAGAAATGCCGAATGCTTCATTCCTGTAATATTTATTCTTTTAAGCAAGCACGTTAACGAACAATTTATGCTGCACGAACATGAATTTGCGTCGGCCGTTGAAATAAATCCACTAAGACAGTCTTTTTATTATTCGGATGTGGAACACATCAATTTAATTCTGACTCATTTTGTAGTCACTTAAGCGTCTTAAGCGCATTTGTCTATCGGTCAAATTGGCACTTATTAGAAGTTTTAATATTAATTTTTCAGCCTTTATATGGTTTCAGTCATTCAATTTGAGCCGTTACTATCTCATCGTACCGACGCATCGACAAATGTTTCATACAAAAATCACATATCCGCTGCAAGATAAATGGCGGTGTAGCTTGACTTCGAACGACCTATACTACTTCTTGTACAATGCTCAAAGGGAGAGCTATAAGTTTCGAATCTCTCGAATTTTAGTAAATAATGTTTTAAATACGGAATTTGTAGAATCAGTCTAAGTCCAACATCGCTGCTTGACAACAAAATTGCTTACATATAAGACTGACGACCGCATGCTTTAGGTTATTCATTTCTCTCAATTTCGACTTATGATGAATCATTTACACAGGAAAGTCAAGTTCTCGGAACTTGATTCTTTCAGACTAATGCAGGTAATGGAATTTTTAAGCTGGATGAAAAAAAGGCATAGGCCTTCAGAAGTACGGGGGAAATCTCTCCTCATTCTCAAATCCGATATCATCTGAAAACACTTAAGTATGCACACAAAAAATGTGAATAGAAGAGTGAAAAATGAGGAGTGATGAAATGATACTAATGTGCAGTTACTGTCTGTCAATACTACCTGCGATCTATCTGTCAACACCAGTCCACGATCTGACGAGAGACGTACAACAGTTTGCACTCCTAGTTTCGGTGAGTTTTATTATTTGTCAAGGACGAAACGAAAACTTGCAATTACTTGCAAACAGATGGGAATCAATCGATCAATTGGAAAGAGTGATGATGGTGTGATGAGACAAGTTCCGCCATATCGAGCTGTGCAGCACCTCAAACCGTTCACTATCTACTATCAGCCACCACTCCTTCTGAAATTGTCGTCATTCTGTGCCGTCTCATTGAATTGTATTCACCCATCATCGCTCTACACAAACTGTTCTGAATTTTCATACTGAATTCATTATGCTGTCTGTTTGTTTCTTCTCTTCTTTGTTCATTTATCATATTCTGCCTAAATTGCATTTACAACAAATATCATAGAACAATTCGCGAATCACAGCATCGCGTACGATCATTTCATCCACCGTAAAATCTCAAATTTTGGGCGGTCTTAAAATATATCGCCTACAAGAAAGAGGTACGGATTTATTTTTGTCTTAAAGTACGCCCAGATTTGAATATAAATAAAAAAATTGCTAAAAACTCCATTAATACCTGAAATTTAAGAGAAAAAAAAAAAAAAAAAAAACTTTAAGTCACATTTTGATGCTATAACGCTAAGACTGCCATTTAAAAATCGTACAATAGAATAGAACTTTTAGAAAAAACCTAAGTTTTTAATAAACATCCAAAACAAATCTACTTTAGAAACGAAATTAATAAAAAAGGAAACAAAAACAGCAAAATAAAAGAAATCGTTAAAATATAAATTAAAAATTGACCAAAAAGAAATTAACAAAACGAACAATAAATAAAAATTACACTAAAACAGTAAACTAACATAATTTTAAAAAAAAAGTAAAAAACGAAAGTACATTAGATCAACACATAGTTACAACTATAATTTGGTAAGAACATAACAAACCTTGACACCCTATTTCCATTAATCATTAATGATAAAAATCTTGAAATTCCAAATTTTTTAGACCGACTAAATATTTAAACTAAGAATTTAACTCAATAAATACTCTAAATATTAACCTTTCCAACATTCCAAAGAAATTAGCTCTAAAAGATAGGTATACACTTATGATTTACACCACAAATTTCGGAATTTTATAGCTGACCATGAAACAATCCGCAACAATAATTAAAAGTAATTTTTGTCAATAAATCATTTAAAACATCTAACTTAACAAAACACTGAAACAATTCAGATTGCGCTTTGAAAATGTTTATGGAAAAGATGCTATAAATTTATAAGCAGTATAGATTTCAACTGATCTTTTTGTTATACTCGCAACTGCTTGTACTTAAAGCTTCTCATTACCTGGACCATCAATCATAACTTTCATAGTCTATTAATATGTATATCAACGAAGACTATATCCACAGCGCAACGATTAGTCAAACAAGTCGATGCCACTGCATAGAATCATCTGTTCCATCGCCTAAATGAAAAATCTATAAAAAATTCATAGTTTGTGGAAACACTAGTATTGAAACACCTTGAATGGTCCATCATCTTTCGTCTTACCACGATCCTACGCATTATTAATTTCTTTTAAGCCTTTTTTGATAGCACCAAACATTGAAAAACCATGTAATTTAACCGAATCTCATCTATCAACGACTTTATATATAGCGATTTTAACATTTTTGAGGAAAAAATAGGCAATTTGTCTAATTAGGAACAAAATAAGACTCGCACGTACCAAAAGCCCGAAACAGCGAATATCTGAATGAAAATAATATAAATTCTATTAATAATCAATTCGATTTTTTTGGAGTAGTAAATTTTAAAGGACGACATATTTTGGAGTAGTAAATTTCAAACAAAGGACGACGAGTATTTACCATTATCTTTGATGTTTTTTCAGGCAGCTCTTTGGTCAGAATGTTCTGAGATGTTTTTTTTTTTTTTTTTTTTAAGTGACTGCCACTGCTAATTTAGCCAGTTTAGATAACCACTTCCCGCAAACAGAGTTGAGTACTTTAACCGAGTACTTAAAAAATTTCGTCAATTACTTCACTGTAATGCAATACATAAATGTCTACGAACATTCTTACTTGTATGAGAATTTCTTTCGAAATAAAAACTCGATCTCGTTCTGGAATTCCTAATGTTACCAATCCATAAATTTTACCATAATCCTATATAATACATATGATAGATTGAACCAACGATTTTCTACTTTCTGTCTGAATTAGTGAGGAATGAAATTCTCATCAGCCATATGGCAAGAGCAAGGTGCGACATAAGGTTTACATAATCCACAATAATTTACACATAAAGCAAGTTCGGGTATCACAACCATTCACACAAAAGCCAAATTTGAATATCAAATACCGTGATTAAGATAGAAATGTTTGTTCTTGAAAACCTAGACTAAGCCATTAGGGAGTCAACGATATCTTGGCACTAGACAATTTTGAGAAAAAAAGGAAGCTGGAATGCATTAGAATTCTTTTTATCAAGAAACTATTTCGTTTTAACAACCTTCTTTAAACACAACACTGATGCGTCCACCTTTCTTTTACCATCAACGACCTTTCCATAAAGATAGGATTCTCATTTTATACCATCCTCCATCATTGTGATTCACTAATATCGTAGTAACTTAGTGCCACTGCCAGCGAACCACGTCGAAGGTATCAATTCAATGTTGGTTTCTTTCAAATGTGAGCGTGTTTATTGGACGATGGGATTTGAATATTCTCAGTGAGCCTTTTGGGGATTCAAAATTTTGTGCATCTCTTATGGAAAGAGCTTACAGGAAGAATCCTGATTACGCCTGTTTCTCCCCGGTGACTGAGTTATTAACTAATCTCTTCCTCTAACAAAACTCATCCCTATGTCTTATTATCGCAGTGATGTGAAAACGTGCTTGTGCTTTTTCCCTGATCGGAAAGAATAGGGTCATTATCTGCTTCCGATGTTTTGACTGCAGGTTTTTTGAATGGAACGTCAACAGAGCCGCTTATTTATACCATACAAAGCACTCGGTGAAGTTTGTTCATCGGTTCCACCTGCTTTTCGGGTACTTCCAAGGAAACGGAACGAAAGTTACGTCATTTGTGCTGTCGAAAATGTTGTGATACAGTACTTGTGCGAAAATTTGCGTATAATATCCGTGAGTAATGTCCTGCCGGCTCGAATCAACGTAATTGCTGCCGACTCTCATTATATTTATGCCGCCATTGGTACAAGAATAGCGATTTTGTATTTAGCCAGGTATTTGATCTCAAGTTTTATTGCACTGTTTTATTCATTGAACTGGTTTCAATGTGAGTGCAAAGTGCTACAGAAGTTAGGCGTCATTGAAATATTCATTTTTTGAAAGGAAATTATATACAAACATATTTCCTTCTTCTTCTGTTTTTCAAAGTCTCATTTGCATATTTGAATTTTTGGATAAGTAGGATTTCATTTCAGGCAAGTTAAGCGATGGTTAGAGACATCTGATAATGTACGTTGGCTTCTTCCGTTTGGTGACATTCTTGTAGTTGTGGACGTGAAAAACTCGATCCATGTAATGGATGTTGATACTGGTGACGAATTGGTGCTGATTGAAACATCCGGACAGTTCGATTGTTCAGCAATTGCCCATCCAGCTACTTATCTTAACAAAGTGTTGTTGGGATCTAGGCAGGGTCGGTTTGAATTCTCTTTAGTGAATTCAGTACTTGTTTCAGTCAATTTACATTTATTAATTCTTTAGTGAATTCAATACTTGCCTCATTCAACTTATATTTTTCTAAAAATAATTTTTTGGTAAAGATACTACATATTCGAAATTCATGTTGGGATATGTTTGTACACCTGACATCTTCTACAATAATTTGATTTAATCAAATAACGTTTTTTAAGGAACGTTACGTATTGTTAACATAAGAACTGGAAAATTGATTCATGAATTTGGGAAATTGTTCAAGTCGGAAATAACAGTTCTGGAACAGTCACCAGCCATAGATATCGTTGCTGTTGGATTAAGAAATGGTCAGATTGTACTGCATAATATTAAATTTGACGAAGCATTACAAATGTATATGCAGGATGCACCAGTAACATCAATTGCATTTAGGTTTTTCTTTTCGAATTTTATTTTCGGCCAGAGTACTTATGGTTCCCCAGAATTGTTAACTTCAGTACTGTTTCGTCCTTCTATTATTAAATTCCACATTCATAAGCCATTTGCTATAATGCATAGTTTTTTTCAAGCTTCAGTTTGTGGACTTTCCGTTTAGGATCTTTTTATTTTTGGAATTTTAGAACCGATGGCGAAGAGACAATGACTACAGCATCAGAGAACGGAACACTGGCAATCTGGGATTTGAATAAACGTTCGCTGTTAGGACAATTACCTGACGCACATTGTGGTTCCATTACGGGTATATATTATGTTAGTGGGGAGCCGTTGATGATTTCAGCAGGAGTTGATAACACGTTAAAAACTTGGATTAATGACATGGGTGATGGCATGCCTAGGCAGTTGGTTTTGCTCGATGGGCATCACAAACCAGTTACCGCGATAAAATTTGTCGACAATGAAATGTGAGCTTATTTTACATTTCTCATATAATTTTTTTCTAAATTGCTTACTTTTTCATCAGAAGCTCGCAATTAAGAAAGAAGATGCTTGCAATTTATTTCAAGAAACATATCGTTTTCCTTAAATTTGGTTGTGTTTTTAATAAGATCAGTTTTGGTTTTTATTTTGTAGCTATTGCAAAACAAGTATTTTTGTATTCGATTAAATTTTTAGAATTGTAAAATCAATGAATTTTAGTATCCTTTCATCTAGTTTGGATGGTTCTGTAAGGGCGTTATCAGTATTACGTGATACATATAGACAAAAATTGGGAAATGCTGGTATTATGTCCAGGTTTGCTTTTTTTTATTTCTTTTTAGCTTACTTTCATTTTCATAATTATCGTTGTGTTCCATTTATTTCTAATTATATTTCATTACCTAAACTATTACATTTCTTTGTGTTATTCAATGCATCGTTTTTGATCCTGTAGAATGAAAGCTAAAAAGAAAAGACGTGACATCGAGAGCATCAAATTGAAACCAGTAATTGAAATGGATGTGGGATTAGCAAGGGAAGCAGCTTGGGACAATGTTATGTGTCGTCATATTGATACAACTCAAGTGACAACATGGACCACAAGAAAACAAGCTCTAGGAACATATTGCGTTCGTTTGACTGAAGTTTCATGCTCATTTTTGGTATTTACATAGTGATGTTAATTCTTCACTTCAGTAATTTCAAAATTAGCTAACTATCAATGAATTCAAAATATTCTTCAAAAATTCGCTTTTTTTCAGTTGCTTCATAAAAGATTCTTGACTAAACCACATCTCATATCTGCGTCTGCATCAGCAATATGCATCTCATCGTGTGGTAATTTCGGTTTAATTGGATATACAACTGGCCACATTGACTGTTTCAATTTACAAAGTGGACACCATAGGAAAACGTTCATTTGCAGTAAAAGTGATGAAAAAGCTCATCAGTCTATCGTTCGAGGATTGGCGCTCGACACACTCAACAGGCAGCTTGTAAATGATAAATATTTTGATTATTGTTCTTGTAGTTTTATCAAAAATTGAAAATATTTGACAAAAAAATACTGAGAACTTTCCGCGTCTCATACGTCCATAGTGTTTCACACTTTTTACTTCTCATACGTCCATAGTGTTTCACACTTTTTTACTAGTTGATGTAAAGGATGCGGTAGTACATGTGACACTTGCTTTATTACATTGTTTGACTTTTTATATTTTTCATATTTGAGGTCTCAGCTGAGCATGATGGACTAATTCGATTTTGGAGTTTCCGGAGCACGAAGTTGGTAGCAGAAATGCAGGTTCCATCACCAATAATGCGGTTTAGTATGAGTGGCAATAATTCGTTGCTAGCTCTTGGTGTAGGAAGTGGTTCAATTGGGGTTGTGGACACCCTGTGCCGAAAAGTTGTTAGGGTCGTGGATGGAGCCCACCGGTCATCCCTTACTGCCTTGGGATTTTCACCTGATGGTAAATGGCTTATCAGTGCTGATGACGAGGGTTTCATTAAAGTTTGTTTCTATTTCCTTGTTTTTATATTTTCATTAAAGTTTGTTTCAGTTTCCTTGTTTTCATATCTTTTGTATTTTATTTTGAAAATTTGAAATATCCGAAATACATGAAGGAATTAAATTTGTTTTACCGTTAGCATTAGTCATCATATTTTAGGTTTGGGATCTTATTACTAATAGCCTTATTGATGTTATGAAATGTGACTTATATTGTATATCATTTTGCTTCTCACCAAGTGGAGAATATTTGGCTACATGTCACTATGATCAAAGGAGTGTATATATCTGGGCTAATAAAGCATGGTTCACTTCTGTGAATGCTTTGAAAGCATTGCCATTAGATTATATTCCCAAGGATTCCTTAGTTTTACCTTTGCGAAGGTATGCCTCTTATCGAGAAAATTGTTTTAAAGTGGAAGCTATGCAGTCGTAGAGAAAACAAAGTGAATAACCACTTTTAAAAAGTTAAAAGCATAAAATATTGTTGCTGGAACAGTAAATAGGTTGAAACAACTCAAACTACAAATGGTTTTGAATATTACTGAATCATTGAAGCAAAACAGATATATATATATATATATATATATATATATATATATATATATATATATATATATATATATATATATATATATATATATATATATAATCATAAAGTTTTCTCTTCAGGAATTTAGAGGATAAAGTGCAGTGTTCAGTAGAAGGGATTGAACTGCTTACAGAAAGTGCTTGTGAAAACATACAGAAAGTGAAGCAGGTAGTGTTGAAGAATTAGTATTTTGTAAACAAAAAAATAGCTTTTTATTACCTTAATGTTTTACTCATTTTCTGATACTCTTATTATTCTAAAGTTTAAATTCAGTTGAAATTGCGAGGTTAAGATAATTATTTTCAGGTATGTAAAATGAAGACTTATAGCAAGTATTGTTTTTTATTATGACAAGTAAATTAAGGTTGAAAGTCTAATAACTTTGTCGGGTTTGGCACCTTCACGTTGGGTGAATCTGCCATATCTGGATGTAATTCGAGAGCGAAATAAGCCAATCGAACCAGTGCGAAAACCAAAAACTGCACCATTTTTCTTACCGTCTGTATCAACACTTGATGGTTTCGAGTTTGAAAAGATAGATGTTGGTGCTGATGTTATAGAACGGCGCAATGTATTAATGGCCAGACGAAGTGTCCTGGAGATCGAATCTTCTTTTGCTGAAACTCTGTTACGGTAGAGTTTTCTTGTCCTCCATAATTTTATATCTAAGTGCTTCATTTTACCTGTCGGATGTATTAAACTGACTTTTCATGAAAAATGTATATTGTTTGCAGGGCTTCAGACGATGCTCATTTCATCACTGCATTTGAATCTTTGAAGTGGATGAGTATCTCTTCGATAGACTTTCAAATTCGTATACTGCCAGAAAGAGTGAGTTGCTTTTTTTTGCATCCTTATTTGGTTCTTTAAATTTAAGTAACTTATTTCCAGGTGCTTCACAGAAGAAAATCAATTTAACTAGAGATTTAAATAAAACCAGTTACATTAGATTCAATGTAAATGTAAAAAATTATAGCTTCTTAATAGGACTGTGTCTACTAACCAATGATTTCATTTCAGGCTCTAAACAGTTTTTTGAAAATGCTTCTCACAGTTCTGAGGAACCATCGCGATTTTGAACTTGTCCAAACCTACTTGGCCGCTTTCTTGAAAATCAATCGGAGCAAGCTCTGGATTAGCTGTATTAAAGATGATGATTTGGATAAAACATTAAGCAAATTAAGTGATGAGCTGAGGATGAGTTGGGAAGAAATTGATCGATTGATGCTTCTTAATGCTTCTTTATTGCAGTGGATAAAAACAGCTCTGTTGTAGCAGTCGTATAATTGTCATTATTTTTGTTGAATTTTTTGTAAATATATTGTCTTTTGTTTTTTGATCTATGAATACTGTTGAATTAGATTTTAAAAATAAATGTATTGCATACCTTTTTAACTTTTTGTTTTGCTTTGGTATGCATGTTACATGTGACTTTCTTCTGGAAATCTTGCAAGTATGCTTGAAGCTTTGGTGTGAGATGCGTTTTTATTCAACCCCGGAGTAATTGCGTTTATTTATAAGAATGGATCAACTTCCGAAATTTCAGGCGGAGGAGGATTTTGCTTTAAGGCTCCGATAATTTACAGTTAAAATGTCCAAGGGAAGCTGCATTAACGGTGCGGTGGCGCCCATATCAAGTGGTAAGTTTTTATCTCCTTGCGTAGGATGCATAGAACATTTGCAGAATTGAGGGTTTATTATAAATTTGCTTATTTTTACTAGCAGGCTTTTTTGGTTTTTTTTTTTTCTTTTGGTTTTGATATGGACGAAGTTTTAGTTCGTCTTTCTGAATATCTCAGAAGTAGACTAAGATTGCTATTGCCAACATTCGAGTTGCTCATTTTAGAAGAGAAGACTGGGAAAAAGCTCAGCAGAAAAGAGCTGAAAAAGCTACAAAGAAAAGCAGAGTATGAGCGTGAGATTAAAGAAATGGGTGGTACAGTTGAAAATCAAAAGGAAAAAGAAAAAAAAGGTTTTTTCATGCTTTTTATGCATTAGGACTGATATTTTTACGAAATGCTGTTAACTAAGATAATGGAAGATATATTTATCATATTTTTGAAATAAAGATGCATTCATTCCTAACATTGAACGAACATGCACTCGGATGCAGTTTTTTTTTCCCCTTTTGCTGTTTATTAACTATTTACTAGATATATCCGAAATGTTTAGGAAGTGGTGGAATTGGGTCAGGTGCTGAACTTGGACAACAGTTTTCCGTTTCTCAGCAAGCGAAATCTGCTGGACAACGAATTCAGCTTGAAAATGCCGTTGACATTAAGGTAAGTGTGTTAAGAAAAACATCTAATTTTTCGTTTTTTTTCGAGTGAATTGAGAAATGTTGTTGTAGAACTTTAAGATATTCACAGAAGAAAATCACACGGTCGAATTTAATTTATTTTAAACAGACTCTTATTTCTTATACCTTATGTTCTACAATCTGACGTAAAAAATGTACCTAATAAAGGATATACAAAAAGATAGCATACAGATTGCAGCGTAGTAGGTAATTATGGCCGTTGATTTTAGGATAAGCTTGTTCGTTGCAGGTGGAAAACTTTGATATTGCAGCTCAAGGACGAGTTTTGTTTCACAAAGCTGAGTTAACAATAGCTTTCGGAAGACATTACGGTCTCGTTGGCCCAAATGGGTATGCAATTAACACTCTTCAATTTTTCATGATGTTTCATGTTTTTCGTTCTTAAGGATTAAATTTTATTGCTTTATAGAATGGGCAAAACTACACTTTTGAAACATATTGCGGCCAGAAGGTTGGACATTCCACCAAATATTGATCTTCTTTATTGCGAACAAGGTGTATTTGAAAATTAATTTAGTGCTGAAGAAGTTTTTATTACTTCAGGTTTTGTTTCCATAGAAATTTTATCTTTTTTTCATCTTTAACCTTATCTTTTTCATATTACTGATTAATTCCGCAAATTTCAGAAATTGAAGTTGACAAGACTTCTGCTATTGATGCTGTGGTTAAATCAGACAAACATCGCCTGGCTCTGATGCAAGAGGAGACTCAGCTGATAAAGAAGTTAGAAAAAGGAGATATTTCAGTTGGCGAACATTTAAAGGAGGTAGTTGTTTAAATCTGCAGCTGCAAATGTAGTGCAAGCAGTTTATTATAATTAGTGGAAATCTGTTATCCTTGTAAATAAAATAAGTGAAATGCCAGATACTTTACTAAAATATTATAACGTCACTTTTTGTTAAAAAGTTACCAGAATGCAAATTAACAGGTCACTGATGAGCTGAAGAATATAAATGCAGACGCAGCAGAACCAAAAGCACGCCGTATATTGGCTGGTCTTGGCTTCACAAAAACTATGCAAGAAAAAGTTGTTGTTTTAGACTATATTCTTTTATAAGAAAGTTGTTGTTTTGAACTGTGTTTTAGACTTATATTCTTTTATCCATCTGATGCACTATATTATAAGTCCTTCATCAAACCTACACTTCTTAATTTTTTTAGCCAGTTGAAGCATTTTCGGGTGGTTGGCGTATGCGTATATCATTAGCCCGAGCTCTTTTCTTAGAACCAACGTTACTGATGCTTGATGAGCCAACTAATCATCTTGATTTGAATGCAGTTATTTGGCTCGATAAGTTAGTTTAAAATTTTTGCAAATCATCCTCCACTTCATTAACTGAGATGTAAGTAAATTGATTATTTCTGCACTCTTTTGACTTCAAATCAATTTTAATTAATAACTTACAGATTTACTATTATGTTTAAATTGACCTAATTTCAAAATTTTTATTCAGAATTTCTTATTGCAGCTATTTACAAATGTGGAAGAAAACCTTATTGATTGTCTCACATGACCAGGGTTTTCTAGACAGTGTGTGCACAGATATTATCGATTTGCAGGATCAAAAACTGTATTACTATAAAGGAAATTATTGTAAGTTTCGAACATAATTTTTGCACTAATTTGCGCAAACTATGTCATTACCAATTAGCTCCAATGGAAAAAGTAGCAAAAGAGACAAGCTATTAATAAACACCAAGATTTTAAGAGAGTTTATGTGTTTTGATCAACCAAAAAGGAATTCTAATCTAATTTTTGAAATATTTTATAGCTGCTTTCAAAAAAATGAAAGATCAAAAAATGAGAGAACACATGAAAGCCTTCGAAACTCAGCAAAAGCAACTAGCCGCTATGAAGAAAAGTGGTAAAAGTTCGAAACAAGCTGTTGAAGAAATGAAAAACCGATTACAAAACAAACAGAATAAAGTTAATAAGAGCAAAAAAGGATCAAGTGTTATGACTGATGAAGGTAATTTCTGTGAAGTGTTTACACTAGTCTTCGATTTGATCAGAAAGATGCCCGCAATGTAAACCTTGTTATCATTTAAATTTTATGTAATGCATTCGAGTTTATGTTGTTTATTTTAGTTAGTGCAGCACCAGTAGAATTGCTACAAAAAATAAAAGAATATAACGTGAAGTTTACTCTTCCAGACCCGACAAAGTTACCACCTCCAGTGCTTGGGTTACACGGTAAGGATTTTCAACAAGTAGTACAAATCTATTTTTGGCCTTACAGATTTGGCAGGAAAAGATGATGTTGTACTAATATACATTTTACCTTTTTTACACTTTTTTAGGCGTAACTTTTGGTTACAAAGACCAAATGTTATTTAAAAACCTTGATTTTGGTGTGGATATGGATTCTCGTATTGCGATCGTGGGACCCAATGGTGTTGGAAAATCAACGTTAATGAAGTTGTTGGCTGGTAAAATTGAGCCAGTAAGTTTTATGTTACTGTAAATCTTAACAGTTTTACGAATTTATACTTTTGATTAGGAATTAAAGATTCATTCAGTAAGATTGAGCTAATTGTTAAGAGGAGTCTGCAACACAAATGTTTGGAATTTAGCAAGAAGGTGAGGTCAGAAAACACAGGCAGCTACGCATAGGATGGTTCGATCAACATGCCAACGAAGTATTGAATGGTGAACAAACTCCAATCGAATATCTTATCACGAAATTTCGGATCGACTATCAGGTTAAATTTTAGCATTTATTTCAGAAAAAATTTAAGAAGCATTCATCTCTGCCTTGAGCAAATGATTTTTCAATTATTTGCCTTTGTTGAAATGTGTTGAAACTCTTTTCAGTTACATTGTAAGTTATGCACTGTTCAGAAAAATCATAAAAAAGCCGTCATTGTATAATTCATTATAGGATGCGAGAAAACGACTGGGTACAGTGGGTCTTCCCAGTTCTACACACAACGTAAAGATAAAAGATTTATCTGGTGGACAAAAATCTCGTGTTGCACTCGCCGAGTTGGCTTTAGGAGCTCCAGATTTGCTTATATTGGTCACTTTTTTATACTGTTTTATAGATTATGTTTTCATAATTCTAAAAAAAAAAAATTATTCTTTGGGAAATACAAGAGATTGTTGGTATTTGCTGTTCCATTGAGATATATCAAAATCTTGCTGGAATACCAATTCTGAAGTCGTAACTTTAACTGCGTCATCACTATTATACAGCAATGTTAATAATAGTGACTCTGTTCATATCTATAATTTTTTTTTTATACTTTATTCCTTTCAACCTTGTTGTAAAAGTGCTGATCTCAATGACCTTTCACCTCTGTTTATTCTTAACGGGTATATCTCCACACTCTGCAGCATAAACATATGGAGGTAATGGGACTTATAAACTATCAAATATAAGTATTTTATTATTTTTGTCTTTCCTTTATTTCTGTTTCTTAATAAAGCACTATTTCCAAACTGTTATAAAAGTTTTTCTAGGACGAACCTACAAATAATCTCGATATTGAATCAATCCATGCACTGGCAGAAGCAATTGAAAACTTTGGTGGTGGTGTCGTAATGGTTACTCACGATGAACGTCTGATCAGGGAAACAAATTGCCAGTTATGGATTGTTGAAAATTTGGTTTGTTATGGATCTCTACCTTTTTTATTTTGCATTCAATTCTAGTGTGTCTTCTTGATTGTTTAAATTGACATCATATAGAATATAGTATTCGGAATATCATTTCATAAAGGTTGAAGAAGTAATCGTTTCATGATATTTTTTTTTTTCATATACGTTTCATGATACTTTTAATGGCCTAGATATTTAAGTATTAAAAAATTAAATCTGGATATCTAAATTTAGACAAAAAAATATATTTGAATCTAGATATGGAAAAATATTTAAGTCTAGATATCTAAGCTAGATATTTAAATATTTATTCAATGAATTTAAATTATAGGGTATTGCTGAAATTGATGGCGATTTTGAGGATTATAGGAAGGAGATCCTGGAACAGCTTGGGGAAACACCAACATTACCAGAACGATAAATTGTTAACTAACTTTGATACCACTTTGAAAAATTCCTAGCTTTTTGTATGAATTGAATGACCGGTCCTCAACTTTTATGACTCAGACTTATCTGATTTAAACCACTATTTTAATCTGTTGTCAGCATATTTAATATCCTTAATCTCCGTTGCTTCTTGTGATATCAACTTTGATGTTTCAAAATATTTTCGTAAAATATGTATCAAGGCCTTTCTCCAGTTTTTGTTCTTTAAGAAGCTAACAGCTCAACTTTTTATTCAGTTTGTTAAGACAGTAGGGCTGCTCTGTTTTTTAGTAACAAATTATATTTGTACATTTCTGGTTATTGTTTTTTCATTCTTGTTCCTCATATCTTTTTTTGTTCACTGGCACTCAAAAGCTTTTGCTTGTAATGAAATGTGAGACATTTACTTGAGATGGTGTTTCATTCTTTATATCAATGTTTATTATTTGAACCACTGAACAATTCAGTCCCTCATTTTCAAAAAAAAATGTCATTGGGCTGGAACGGAAGTTGAGATTGGTCCTTTGTCTTGGATGATGTTTGAGGTCAGAACAATTTTTTTTCTGGTCTTTGATTCTTGAAGACTTCGATCTTAATTCCTCGACTTAATATTGACATTTTAAAAATAGAAAGATATAACAAATGCATCAGCGATCACTCATTAGATCACATCCACAAAAAGAATATTACATAGAAAAAGGTAAAGATCTGAATCTCAAATTTAACTTAAACAGAAGGAAATGAATTTGTGATATGCTTACTGTTTTCATGCCTATCAAAGTAAACAAAAAGCTTCAGCGGTGAGAATAGAGTCTGGTGAATGCTCTTATTTCTACTTTTACGTTTCGTTGAGGATGGGGCTGGAAATTTCCTTGAAGTATTGTAAAATTATAAGGAATTCCCCGCAAATTGCATGCACACAGGGAAAAAGATTCAGATACTGTAAGAACAGATAGCTTGGTCTAAATTTACCAAAACAAACAAAAAGGAATAACAGGTAACCCTGATAAGGTGTTATCGAAAAAACAGAAATAGGGAAGAAATCAAGCCTTACTGGTATAGTAGTAAGTGAGATGTACCTTATTCTTTATGAAGAAATTGGACGTTTTCGTTTGGCCAGTACCATGCGTTACCAAAAAGATTTTATATCAAACATATTTGTTAATTTGGTATTGATGCAAGGAATTTATATAAATTTGGAGTTTCAAAATACAGTGACAAATTATTTAATCTTTCTCGGCTTAATTTGAAATCTTATTTAGTCTTAAAGAATTTTGTATTAACCAGAATCCTTAAAAACTGTTAATAGGCAAGATGGTAAATTCGTGGTCAATTTTTTGTTTTCCACCAAGTGAATCGACCATTGATCTTACCACCACCCATCTGATTCAATGTCAATTTGCTGTCTAAAACTAGCATGATTACTTATATTTAACTTTTTTATTCTAGTCATGAAAATTTTTTAATTCAAAATTTTTGCAGAATTCATATCTTTTACTTTCTAAAATTAAGATCGTTACTTTTGCTTTAATCTTTTTGTCTAAAATGTTCTGTTTTGGTGCCTTAACATTGCAACTCTGCCTGACTCATTTTGTTAAATTTTGATTCTCGCATTTTGTTGTGAATGGGGAGAGAAATAAAGCAGTTGAGACATACTTTTGAGATTTTGACATTACTGTTTGTTTGACTCAAAAATTTGACTCAATATCATCTTTCTAACGATCGATACAGTTAGATCAGTGCAACAACAGATACATAGACTGACATCCATTTCTGGTAAGCTACATTTTCTAGATATTTTTATTTCTTATCTAATTTCATTGAAAATTTAACATCGATAGATGTATTATCCATCTCCTCTTTATAATAAAAAGAAAGTCATACTTGAAGTGCGATAAATCGTTTCGCAAATCAGTTTCCTTTCTTCAGCTGTTGCTGGCGAATAAATTAATGGTCGTTGTAAATGCTCCACCCAAATTACTTTAGAACTGCGATCTTTACAAGTGAATACCACTTCTCTACCCATCATTATCAATTTCCACGAGTTCTTTAGATTCAAACCCGTTGCTGAGTCTGAAAGATTTAAAATAGATCAAAAATTTAACATCGATAGATGTACTATCCATCTCCCTTAAACTTTAAGTTTAAAATAGCAAACTCTGGATAAAATGAATATAAACTCGGGTGGAAAGAAAAATGGACAAGTGAATGAATATGGATGAAAAATGATATGGCTCAGTATTGTTTGAAGAAAATTCTCATTTCTCTGGAAACTAACCTCTTCCATCATTACAATTCAGAAATGTTACTGAATTAAGAGAAATCCGGTCACGGAATATATAAAAATTACGCTTGATGAGATCTTTTTTACATATTACCAGCGACTGATCAAATAAAAATAGCAAAACATCTTTATGCCAAATGATATTTCCACCAATAATATAACGACAGTATACTTCACCACTATGTATCATTCGACTGTTAGTTTCGACTAGATCTGGACCCTGAATTTAACTTCAGTCTTCTTTGTACCTCACAGACTTCTTCAATTTGTGTAACATGAATATTAAATGTGACAAATATTATGAAAAAATTCTGAAATGATGTATTTCTTCTTCCCTCGTTACTTTACATTTAACTTTATAGTTGAAGTTGAAGAGAGCAGTACCCACCCTCCATCCTTCCACATTCATTTGCCATAAGACGATCTGCTGTAAACCTTCTAATCGTCGTTTCTTTTCATTTATCATCGCAGCAACATTTTTCATCGCAGATACTGCAATCTTAAAATTACGCAATTTTAAGAGAAGAGAAAAAGATGATTAGACGTTCCTGAAATATTCATTCTATTCGGATATGTTGAATGTTAAATATTTTTTGGCTGAATAAGGTAATGTTACAACATGAATTTATCACTTAAACAAATGAATTATTCTTATTTCATACCTTTACTGGTTCTCTGTCTATGTGTGATGTTGGCGTTGCTTTTAGTAATTCCGACAATTGTAACGGATAACGACATATCCTCTGCACGGGCGCTAACAAAAACCCTTCTAAAGGTAACTTTGGCATTCCTCGAAGAAGTCGACATGCCTAAGTGATAAAGTCGACACATAAATCAGAAAGAGGATTGATGACATTATCGACATTTTTGTGATTCTCAAAATATGATATATCTTGTAAATTACCTCGAAAAATTGGTAATAGTGGGTTTGTTCGGTGAGTAACGCCAATTCGGTACTCGAAACCGGCCGGTTATTGCAATACTCCGAATAAATAGAAAATTTTGAACGCTGAAAAATGTATAACTTATATGCACATACCACATTGCAAAAAAGATAGCGTAGGTTTGGATTATTATAGCAAGCGGTGAGTGGAAATAATCAAAATATTGCATTCTATCTTGTTTTATTCAATTTATGATGGATAAATTATTTAAAAACTGCTTTTTTTTTCCTCCGTCAGTGTTATTTTTAGTATTCAAATTGCTAATGTCTTTAGCAATAAATGAAAAGAATTGAATAAAAAAAATTAACATTTCGGAGAAAAATGGCTCCAATAGCAGAGCTCTCGGGAACGTTTCGATTAAATGCTAATTCAAGCTCCCGAAGAAATTTACAATGTAGAGCATAAATGGCTTCAATATTTCCGAAAAGGCGCTGTATGCAAACTGCCGGGAATAGGTCGCTACGACGACGACATTGCTCCGTAAAACCCTGCAAGTGTGCTATGCAAAATGCATGAAACAGAAACCAATGCATTTTATAATTATCAAAAATGAAGTCGGAATGTCTTAGCTGAATGACTATAAAGTGTTTAGCAAAAATCGATAAAAGTTCGAATGACTTCATTTAATTCTGCAAAGTAATTCTGATTTGCAGAGTTCAGAACTATTCAATTCTAATGTCTCCAAAAATAATCTTAGTTAGAACGATAGATCCGGAGTAGTGTCACGAATTATTAAATCAATTGATAGGATAAAAATTTCGTTACCTGAACAATATTTTGCAATAAATTGACATAATCACGTTCGGTTTGCATTAATTCTTGAACTATTTTTGCTCGCAAAAACCTCATCGACTGTGGGAAATAACTTAACGAAGGAATGTCTGGGATTGACGGATTGCTATTTAATATCTGGAACGTTAAATATTGATCCTAAAATGTGTAATATTTAACTTAAGCCATTTTTTCCGTCTTGCTACATTTTCGGAACATCAGCTTTCCACTGTTTTTAATTGTTAAATCCTCGGGATGAAAGGCCATTTTGATAAAAGAAAGAGAAACTAACCCTAACATAAGATGATGGGAACCACCCAACCCTTTCACGACAGTTACCGTACCAAAATTCTTCATGCGATGAGTAATCCAGCACTGATATGATATCGCCAATTGCAAACGGTAACTCATTAGGTAATACAGCTACATGATCCCAGACTGCTTCAGCTGATAATAAGCACTGAAATTAATTTGTAACTACTGACTGAGGAGACAACGTAAACATGAAGAAGATATATCATGATCTAATAACAGTATCCGATGTAAATGAATTAATTAAAGCAATTCAGGCTTATTTTGGTCCTGTCACTTTCTGTAAACAAGGCAGTAGAAGATACAACATTTTCTTCTTCAGCATCAACGAAATGAAAAGTTGAAAACTTAGCAAATCTGAGATCATACTTATTCCTTCTACCTACACTCTTCAACAAGGAAATTATTAGATTCTTTCTAAATTTAAACTCTCGGTTCTTAAAAATCTTTTAGAAATTTCTGTACCTGTTCATCACCACTGGACATTGTACTAGAAGTGGTCATAGACGATGACATGCTGTGTACGGAACTACGAACGCTATGATCGTTGGTTGAAGAGGCAGTTTCTGGGGTACGAAGTCCACTGAACAGGGCATATGCACTCATCCGGGATATATGAGATGCTGTTGCTGATCCGTTGTCTGAAAGAAATCTTCCATTATTTCACGAATGTTTTCTTTAGGCTTTATCAACTGATAAGATATTCCCGGCAGACAACTTGACTTAGTCTAAATGCGACAGGTTTCTGAAGATTTCTTATTTCCACCTCCTTTTGCAAATTTTTAATCTTGATAGACCACGACAGTTCAAGACTTCGTTGCTTTTCATTCATAATAATTCATAAAAATGTAGATCGTACCGCTTTCATCATCGCTATCGATATGAATCGGAAAGTATACTGGATGGCTGCGTGATCGTTTAGTTGCATTGCTATTATTTTTTCGTATCAAATGTGATGGCAGTTCGAGCTATAATGACAGTTATTTAATTTTAGTTTCAAACTCATATCCTAAAACTTTCAGTTTAACTAACTTAAAACTGATGTCAATTTAAATTTCAATTTCACAAAACTTTTACTTGTACAATAATCCTTAAAATTTGTCAAATGAATCTGCTTCTAATGAAAGCTACACATTTTTTTTTATTGGTATACTTACTGTATATACTTATCTTTTCTCAGATGAGGAATCTTTGAATGAAATTTAGACAATTCGAGCTCCAATTTTAAAGATAACAGTAGATAATGTTATGAAACAATTTGAAAAAAGGTATTTACAAGAATTCACTATGAACAAAACAATTATATGTATTACTGATTTATCGCCACTCTTAGTCACACTATCAATAGAAGGAAAACATCTAGTTGTAGTTAAAAGCATTTTAATTCAAATTTAAAAGAATGTAATTTCAAATTTAAAAGAGTGAAAGTACTTTAATTTCAAATTTAAAAGAGTGAAAGTACTTCGGTTTCTAAAAATAATCCAAAAATGTTGCAATTCAAATGTTTTTAAAAGAGAAAGTAATTCTACTTATTTCCATCGCTGCTATGAAGCCAAACAGATTGCAAATCTGTAATTCTACAAACATGGAAAAAGTATTTACTTCTTCGATAACAGCCAGTCGTACCATATATGACGTCTTGTTCACTTATACTACTACTACTTATCCGTTGTTTTACTGCTTTGCTGCATAATAACAATTAGAACAATAGTCACTTTAATGAGTACACAACTGCTGCAGATGTATCAGTCGCAAGAGAATAATCATATCATAAAAGATAATTATGTGACACCTATCCTGAGAGATCAACATCTACAAATCGCTCGATGACGGATATCGTCACTGATGAGAAAGAGATAAACTTGAATTCTCTTAAAGGACCGATCATTCTGAATTGATCTCTTTGCTGAGTTGATTATTCACTTCTACTTTAACGTGTCAAAATTAGCTTGAAAACTACAACAGAAGATGAAATTCGTTATCAGACGCTAAAAATAAATGTTTAAATAAGCTAGAATTGAATGTTTAAATAAGCTAGAGAGTAATCTCAAGACCGAAAAACTTTAACCTAGTTCAGCAAAAACCTCAAAAAAAATGGGACTTAAATAAAGAGAAACAGCGAAAATAGCCTTTCGACATGTCAATAATTTTGATGGAGAAATAACACAGTTCTTTCCCCGAATATTGTCATGAAAGTGAAAATATTGATATTTAATTCACAACATTTTACTAATATTGTATAAATCAGAAGCAGAACTTTAAAAAAAATTTATTTTGAGAAATAGGGAAAAAAAATTTCGTTTTTAAATTAATTTTTTTTTTTTTTTTTTTAAATAGGATAAGAGCAAGAAGTGTTGCGAACTGGTATATGTATTTAAAAGACAAACAAAAAATGAAAATACTAATTTCTGTTTCTGAACAATTGTAACTTATGAAGGTTTTTTCAATTACGGCAAGTTGCAACTTAATTAATTATTAATAAAATGTTAGTTAAAGATCATAACTGTAATAATATGATATCGCCGCTACTTTATATATCTTATTTATTCAGTTCTGATTTCATAAACCGAAATTGGACTATTTTACAACTTTACAGTAAACTTATATCTTATTCTTAAATGAAAATAAAGAAAATAAGCTTGAAGAAGAGTCATTTTGGAACACTTCGTGTCAAACTTAACATGTAACACATGTAATAACATCTGGTAGATCAGTCTTATCTTGACTACATTTCTCTACTTTCTGGCAACTTTAGTCAACTGGACTTACAACTAATGTATATATATATATATATATATATATATATATATATATATATATATATATATATATGATGGTCGGTAGCACAAAATTTTGAATGTAAACTTGGCTAAAAATAAAAATAACTTTCTAGCTACCTCTTCGATTTCTTGCCGCATTTGGTCAAGACAAAATAGATCTCGAAAGAATAGAATATGTGCCCTCATTAAAACAATTCTTTTTGCCTTATTTGAGGATGATTTATCCTGTATGGTAGCTCGATTTGAAGGACATCGCTGAAAATTTTACTAGATTTCACGGATCCAAAAAAGTTTGGTAAAATAAATAACAGTTCCAAAAGGCAATGTGTTGAGAAATTTCGGGAATTATAGTAACCAAAAGGTAAAATCAGACAGAAAGATGGTAATACTATTGGAACTAAGATCCGAGTGCTGTTAGTTACCAGTAATTTAGATTTAAAGAAAAGAAAATATACTATGAGAAAGCTATACATAGACATATTTTTCTTTTCAGCCTAGTATTCAATTTTCATTGAATATTTAATTGAACAGATATGTCTGGAACCACAAAATGCAACTTATGTCAACTTCTATGTGAACATTGTATGTTATTTGTCACTTATATATTGATTAACTCATTCTTAATTTATAACTCATGCAACTTACATAGTTTATCTATTAGCGATTAGCAACTTCCAAACTACTGACTGGCTAATGCAGGCTTTGAAACTTTGGAAAAAAAAAACGCTTAAACTAGTTGAGAAGAGTTTTAGAAGCAAAAAATATTTTATTGACTGATATATTTTAATTTAATATACAGATTTCATGATTACTTAATCAAAAATTAAAGTTATTTTATAGCGAAAATGGTGCAAATGATATTTCATCTAATAAGAATGGATGAATGAACGAGTGGAGGAGAGAAGGAAGTAGAAAGATAAGGAGGAAAATGACTAGTGCCATTTTAAAAATTTATGAATTTACTTTTCATCACAGATGCAGCGATTAAAAATAAATTTAAAGTTAAAAAATAGGGCAAAAAAAAAAAAAATGGAAGAGAAGGAAAGATGTTTCCTATGGAATGTGAAAAATGTAGACGTGAAATATATCGAACGTTTTAAATTAGATTTACCATAATTTTGGTTGGAAATGACTGAATGATAAGAAAGCAACAAAATTGGGAATTTATTTTATCATTGACTGAAAATTCATCAGAGGGTTTCATCTCTATTCCAGTTTGCTTTAAAATGTTCAGAATTTCAGGCTTCTCAACTTCTTATATAGATTTACTTAAATTTGGGTAAATATATTAGTGAAAAAACTGCTCTATTATAAAGGCAACATACTACTTTTATTACTCATAATGCTTTAATTTTCAGGATAATTACAAGTGAAAACAATAAATCTTTCTAATTTTCTAATCTAATCTAACTTATTGCATTTTTTTTTCTTTAATTTCTCTTCAAATTTTATGCTTAATTTTTACTTCTTTTTTCGATTAGCTACTTCAAGAGTTCAAAGTGACCCATTCATAATTCTCTATCAGAAAAAAGCCAAATTTCTCAAAAATTTTAAAATCGTTAGTTAGGTATCCTCTCTTCCTAACACTAATTGCAAATCGCTTCCTCTAATAACTGCAGTTCCAAGTCCCGATGTATCCTTCTGATCATAATGAAAGTGGGCATACCTGATTTGTACTTTCTCTTTCAAAGTCGTATTGATAATCACTCTTAATCTGAAACGCCGTTCATAAGTGATGTCCGAAATTCAAAAAACCGATTTGTGGAAAATTAAAACCTGCTAAGAGGAACATCGCTGTGTTTATTAGTTTCGACTGTCAAACTTACAAAGTAGTTTCGAATTTATACTTAATTTTAAGAATTCATTTTAAAATTCTGCACAAATTTTTGAAGGATGAATGAACTGGAGTGCAACTGTAAATGCAATATGATCTATTGAAGTTTTCGAAGCTTTCATAAACTTAACCTTAGCCTTCTTTACTTTTTTTCAAATCAGTTAGTTATGCTAATTACAGACATCCACTCACTGATAAGTACTGACCTGTTAGCAAGCACATAACCATCCGATGAAAATATTTTTCCAAAAAATTGAAAAAAAAAGTGACTATTCAAGGTGAAGATTAAATCCAGAAAACTCGTAAATTATGCGTTTATTTGAGAAGAGGCAAAACAGGATGAATTAAAAGTAATAGTTTCAACCACTCATGTTTATCAAAAAATAGTTTTCATGCAGTACCCAAGAAAAACAGGATATATCAATATTTTTTTCTGCTATCCCTTCTAATTCCTACAATTTATTGCTTGAAAAAATGACACTAGAAGTTCTCAATGCTGAAATGGTCATAAGAATTTAAATGGATATTGTCAGGCTTCGATATGAAAATCAATTCTACAGCAATATCTGGTATCTCGTCCTTGCTGTTTATTAACTGTTATAAAGGATGACATATATAATCTCACACTCAAATCGTCGCAACACTGTCGTAATCTTGTTAACATAGAAGCTTGTTGCAGAAATGTCGTTGTCACTGGTGACGTTAGTAGTGGTCGTTCTTGTGCTAGTAATGACAGAGATGACGGAAGCGACAATTTTGCGTCACTATCGTGACTTGTTGGTTCACGTACTTTAATAATGGATGCCATGGAGTGCACACTTCGTTGCACAACACAATACATCACTTCGCCTTTCTCCTTGTCCGATTGAAAAAAAAATCATAAGATGAGAAGACCTTGAACTACAATTATTAGCGCTTAACTTATGGCAATGGTTCTGTATAACAGAAATAAATATTTATCATCTTGAAGATGCTGATACTTGATAGTAAAAATATACGATGCAGGGATAGGCTATCAAAGAGCAGTACATCAGAGAGCGAACAGTCAATACTATCAAAAACCCTAAACATATTTACATTACGTATGACAAATCTGAAATTAAGGATAAATAAATTTGGGCGCTGCAAATTGGACGAAATACTATTCAAATCAGATTATTCATCTATTTTACGGACTTAAGTAAAAATCATTAATGAAATTATTTCCAAAGAAACTAATAATTAAGCAAATAATAAATGATAAAGACGAACAACAAGGCAATAAACAGCTGTTCCAGGTAATTACTAATTATTATTGCAATTGCCCTGTTAAATGGGATAAGCAGAAATGAGCTTTTATCCTTCGCCAGTGAAAGATACAAGTTTTATTTTTCCAAGGGACAAAACGAAATTTTATGATAGATGTCGTAAATGAAAGCCATCCAATATTTGAAGCAGCTCGTTAGAAGTATGGACGCATGCATATTTGCTACTTCAAAATACACGCGATGAGTTGTAGACTAAGTTCAGATTTTAAAAGGTTCATAATATGGAGCTTTCACTATTTACTGCAAACCACTCATATACTTGCGGCCTTAAATATACATTAAGCTCAGGAAAGTTTTTTGGTTTTAATAAAGGTAACATCAGTAAAATGAAATTATATAATGAAATACTGCTAAATACTCATAGTTTACTCTAAGACTTTTGACCATTGTCTCTTTCCTCTTACTATGCCAGTGACAATCTCACTAGAATAAGTAATCAAAGAGCAGTGATGTTTCTTAAGTGTGTCGTGACAAAATTTTTTATTGATAGTTTAAATTTAAAATGTGTATCTAATAGGACATATAAATGAAACAACATAAAACAAATTATAGACGAATCATGTAATTTTTTGCAAAAATTTGAAGCTTGGTTCAAACTTTAAAGATTTTGAAATATAAAGATCCTAAACCGTTCAACTTCTTTGATTTTCATGGAATTTCTCTCCGTCAAAAAAAAAGCAAGTGAAGCTCAGATATTCAAAAAGAGCT